TTTTAAAAAATTTGCTGTAAGTTCCACCACAATTGTATCCAAAAGGCCTTAATAACCTTACAAGTCCACCACATATGAAAAAAAGTTGCATCTGGATGTCCACACCTCCAACACTTGGATTCATAATTCACATAAATACGAGACATAGTTGAAGGATCCAAGTGCCATCTATAAAACATTTTATAAAAATTCTCACGTAGATTTTGAGCTTGTGTAAACTTCACATTTCTCACCCAGATTAGCTCCCAAGTGTCCATAGGTATTGTTTCTCCTATATTTTGAGCCCATTTAATACAATCTTTGACTAATTCAATTTCTGAGTCCAATTCTAATAAAACATTATATATCCTTTTGATATGTCCTTTAGCACCATCTCTTACTTGCTTCAAAAAATTCCCGTCTATAGCAAAAATGGTCTTTTTATCAATTCGCCATCTATCTTGAATTTGTCTATACATAAGCCAAGAAAAGTTTGGGTTATTTTGCTTCAAAACTTCTATTGATTTTAAGCACCAGTTGCCACCACCACTCTGGTATAACAAATCTTTGTATGTAAGTCCTTCCATCACCACTCCTCTGATTATAGTTTGAAAAATATGTGATGGTATCACCCAGAGTGGTAGCTTAATGTCAAACTTAAAAAAATATTTTTGCCAAACTCTTAACAATGCAGTCCTTATTATATGATTTCTGAAGGTTTTATCAATTTTTTTCTGCATAAAAAGATAAGCATGCCACCCAAAGTACAAGTCCCATCCTTCGACATTCAGAATCCCTTTGTTGGACAAATTGATCCAGTCAGTCACCCACGTTAATGCACAAGAGTCATAATAAAGTGTAAAATTTGGTACTTTAAGTCCTCCACGTTCTCTGCTATCTTGGATAATCTTAAATTTAACTCTCGCCTTCTTGCCTTCCCAAATAAAACGATTCAAATCTCTTTGCCATTCTTTCAAGTTAAGTTCATTTTTTAAAATAGGTATCATCTGAAATAAGAAAAGAAACCTAGGCAAAATGTTCATTTTAATGGCCGCTATACGACCCAGCAAAGAAAGCTGTAGTTTTTTCCACATTAATAAATCCTTTTGTACCATTT